AGACGCACATGTACAAGCCGACCAAGCCGCTCAAAAACCAGTAATTAGACCCACTCTGATTTCTTAGAACACTCGGGAGGCTGGCCATGGATATGCTGTGGCTGTGTAGATTTCTTCACGAATGAGCTGATGTCTTTGCTGTATCAGTTGCTGCCTCAGTAGAGAGGAGTGTACATCTAACTGTCCAGAACGAAAGAAAAACACGCATGGTGGATACTTGCACGAGGTTCTGATTATGCAAGCTGTTTTTTCAGCTTACTCGCGTGCCGCACTCTCGCTCGTGTAGGCTGTACTGACGACTGTGTATCTGTCGGGCAAGTTCTAAGTTACATAGGCAAAAACTTTTTAGTCTTATTGTAAAGGACAAGCCAGAGTCTTTGCTACACTCGTACCTGAATCTCGGGGCAAAGGGTGGAGGGCAAGAAGCGTGCGTGTTCCTCGCAGAAGGTGCGACGCAATGCAATCTCCTCTTGTTCTAACTGAGCAAGCTTAGCCTTCATCTCTTCAATCTGCAGGTCATCATGAAGCAGACTGGTTACCCAATCTTTCACGCAATGCGTATAGTACAAGACGGAAAAGTATGAGGGAGCCACCTACGAATTGTCGAACTTTCGTGTCGTGCTGTCTACGCCGAAGAATTTCAGCGCCCACAGACTGATAGGAAGCTAGAAATTGGCGATAAAAGTCACGAAGGCTTCGAAGTTCGTCAAACAGAAGTTGCACATCGGCAAATATCCCCTCGTAGCTGTGAGTCAAGAAAGCAAAGCGACACAGGTTAAATGTAAGGCTCCTTCATCAGCGAGCTTTTCAGAACGTACTGCGGGTATATATCGTTAATAGTGGTGAAGTACTCCAGCAAGAAGCGGTCGCACTGCTCCATGTCGACGAAAAAACTGACCTACAATAAATCAGCCAGCCAGGGTTAGCAGCTGAATGGCTACAATCTCCTCCAGTGCGTGAAAGCAATGCATGTACTGTACATACTGCGGTATTGTATAGCTCTCCGATTGGTTTGGCATCCTCGTCGCTGCATAACCGACCTAGAGGTTAAAGGCTTCGGCATGAGCCTTCAAATAGCAATATGTACCTACGCAATCGATGCGAGTTCACGATGCTCGCCAACCAGGGCGTCAACATTACTGCCGTGAGCTTTATCAAACGTCACGAAAAATCTGTAAATAGCTGCGATTCTCCTGATTGCGTGTTGGTGCGCCGCTAAGAGCTCTTCCACTCTGCAGATTCAAACAAAGCAACTATGAGTACCAGCACCGTACACCAACTGCCCACCACATACTCCTTCGTCTGCTCCAATGCATCCTGCTGCAACGACTGAACAGTCTCGGCGTCGACAAAGTCGAACAGTGTCTTGCCTCGCTCACCGCCCACCATGTGCGGATCAACGCAAGTGCCCTGAAGCTGCTCAAACACACGGTTCATCTCCTGCAGGAGCTGCGTAGTGCAGCAAAGAGCGCTATCAGAAAAGCTCATGTAGCTTCATAAGTATCGTCAGCAGCCGCACCGGTGTTTGTGCGAATATGGAGTCTTGTGCTATCTCCTCAGCGCTGTGAAGCTTTACTCGCGACGCCTCCAGCATTTTGCCCAACACCTACATACAGCGAGCGTGGCGGTCAGTCAGAGGTCAATACTGGATTAAAATTTAGGAGGATATGCATGCACACCTGGCATTTCTCCGATATAGTCTTCACCACTTCGCGCGTCGCGACGGCGGAGTACTCGACAGCGCGCACTCCCATCTGGCCTCCGCGACGCTTATTGATGGGATCTTGTGCGGTATCAGATCTGAGTCTGGGACACATGCTGCGTGATTATTCCTCCAGTGCTACGCTGAACTAGCATTTGATTGGCTAATACAAATTACATTCTAATTTTATAAAATTGATAGTGAAAAGTATTAAACTTACAGAGTCAAAAAGAGAATAGCCTTTGCAATACGAAATAACTAAACGTTGGACATCAAGTCTCAAAAACTACAAAAAACAGATTTATCATCTATCGCGGTGAAGCCTGATCCATTACGATCGGAATGTGCCATCACATCAATTTTAATTAGAAGGCGCATTACTCTACAAGACGTGTATGAAGCCATGGACGGCGGCGTGCTCGCCATCCTGGTGAACGTGAGCTTCGTGGCCGTACTGGCCATTGCCTTCTTCATGATGCGGCGCAAGCTCATTCGAGTGCACACACGGCGGCTTCGCGAGCTGGCGGCGCCGCTGCTGGGCAAGTACGTTTAGATAACCCTGTTCTTAGCCACTTTTACTAAGCTCTTTGTTTGTACGTTGGTTGTCACATCAGTCCCTTGACAACGAACGACCACCGCCTCGATACAGCCACGCGTGAGGCCGAAAAGGGCTTCGAAGTGTGCGCTGTGTGCGAGTTTGAGAACTTCAAGGACGCGCTCTTCTGCTCACTTTGTGGAGAACGCATGAAGAAGCTCGAGGCGTCCGATAACAGCAATAAGAACAAGAGAAAGCGCCGTCGAAAAGAAAAGAAAGACCGCAAGACAAACGAGAGAGCAACTATTCTGCCGCGCCACTTGACGGAGCGCCAGCTTCGTGCCAGGAAACGCAAGGAATGGACACGAAAACTGGACGTCGAGGGCAACATGTTCTGGTTCCGTGTAAAGGAAGGAAGCGGGCCTATTGTGCCAGCACGTGTGGGCAAAGTCATCCGGTTTGTGAAGCCCAACGAGAATCTGAAAATGCCTGGACAAGTGAACGGGCCGATTGCGATACAGAGCGAGGTGGCTGTCGTGGAGCCGGCTAAAGCGAAGGTGTTTAAAGAGATGGCTGATATGGATATCATTCCAGCCACGAAGTGGGATGCAGCAGCGCGTGCAACGGGAGAAGTGTTGGAGGACGACACGCAGACAGGTGTCGAGCGTCGTCGTGAGACGCTCGAACTAGCAGCGAAGGATTTTCCGTCGAAGTACGCTTATTTTGTCAAAACCACGGCATCACTGCTAGTCCCGCCCGAGGTCGAGTTCCTCAAGCTGTCGCTTCACAGAGATTACATGTTTGAGGAGTCGATGGAACATCTTGGGTGCATAGAGGAGAAGTACATTCGCTCGGCGATGCGTATCAACTTCCTGGAGGAAAACGGAGTGGACGCTGGTGGACTACATCGCGAGTGGTTCATGATGCTGACGGAGTTGCTGACGGATCCGGAAACGGGGCTGTTCAAGGCTACGAATGGGGAAGACCGGGCGTTCTTCCTGAACTCAAACTCTCGCTACGACAATGGCGAGGAGCATCTGATTTACTTGTATGGAGCAGGGAGGTTGTTGGGACGAGCGCTGTTGGAGGGCACGGTGCTTAATTTCCACTTGTGTGTCCCACTGCTCAAGCTCATTTTGGGGACACCGCTATGCATGGACGATGTTAAGTATTTCGACCCAGAAGTGTACCAGAGCATGACGTGGATGCTGGAGAATGACGGTGTGGAAGCGCTGGACTTGGATTTCAGTGTAATGGAGCGTGTCGGTGACCGCACAATGACAGTCGACCTCATTCCTAACGGACGCAACGTCGAGGTGACCGACGCCAACACACACGAGTACTTGGAACGTAAGTTTGAGCATCTGCTGTTACGCAGCGTTGCTGACCAGCTCTACGTCTTCCTCAAGGGCATTTACGAGGTTATCCCATTGCATTTGCTGGTACTGTTCGACTACGAAGAACTGGATTATCTCATGTGCGGCTCCCCAGAGATCGATGTGGACGACTGGGAGAAGAACGCTTCGGTGGCTGAGAGTGTGGCACGGTCCCCGACACTCGCTTGGTTCTGGGAGATTGTAAGGGAAATGCCCAATGAGTACCGACGACGTCTACTACAGTTCACTACCGGCTGCTCGCGGGTGCCGCTTGTGGGCTTCAAGGGGCTGACCAGCTACGATGGCAAGGTCTGTCTGTTCACGATCCGCGGAATTGTGGGAGCGCCAGACGAGTTTGTGCGCAGCTACGCGTGCTTCAACCGACTGGACTTGCCGCTGGGTATCTCACGCTCCGAGCTCAAGCGCATGCTATATGCCGTGCTAGACACTGAGCAATATGGCTTCACGACGGACTGATTGGCGACATGACATAGCTGGCACAAGGTGATACGTGAAAATAGGTTCAGACACGAACTCAACAACTCTGGTTGAAGTGTACCATTTTTTAGGCACGTGAAAGGGAGCCCGTCTGAGAGAAAATGTGACGAGGCACATTGCCCATCTGGGCCCAAGTCACACCATGTCACCCCGTGTCAGCGCATGACGGCCCATTTGATGACCATGTTGTGCCCGTTTCGACGAGAGGCAGTGACCAAAGTATACGCGCGAATAACGTATAGCCGCAAGAGTTTAATCTGTGTCTGACACACAAAGTGACACACAGGATGAGTTTGAGGTACAGCTTCCCTCTCAACGCCACACCCATGTACTCAAATAAACCTTTGTACTCATACGAATCTGACAATGTGCAGCCCGCCTGACACGATGTGTTATGCAGACACATCGTCAGCTGCGGACTGCATAGCTGAAAACACTTCGAGTTAAACAAACACTTTCATTCATAGCTATTATAACAATATTAACGAGCACTAAGAACTAGAATAGAAGTATGCATTGAAAGTTAGCTAAACAAGCTAGACACACATTGTCATGTACCTGTAGCGCAGGTACTGAATGCTCTTCTTGTCGAGACAACCCGGTGTGTCCGCCCCAGCGAATACCTCGAACGCTAGCAGCACATATATGCCGCAGTTGTAGCTGTCGGTTTGGATCCCCAACTGAGGCTCATATGTTTGGATGCGGATCCTGTGCTTGTCGCGACCCGGGACCATCAGTGAGAGATTAATAACAGCAGTGCGGAGGCCAATCCTGTACGACGACTCCATTGGATCGTACGTATACAAAATTCGAGCGCTCACATCGAACATGATCGCACACCAGTGGTTGCCGTGGGTATTCACTGGTATTATGACCTTCTCGAAGGATAGCCCGAGCAATAAATCGGCCAGTCTATCGTTGTCCAATGTCACTTTCGTTGGGGACTCGACCGTTATCAGATAGGAGCTCCCCACGACAATGGACGACTTCGTTCCAAAGAGTTTCTCCAACAGGTGTTGCATCGTCGTGTCACCCAAGCAGCCTTTAGCAGCGATCTCCAGCATTTCCGTCTACAGAAGATTTCATTATATATGGTTAGAGGTGAGTGGACATAGTTCATGTCTGGTGTTCGTACCTCAGGTGCCAGCAACTGGGATAGTTCGACCTTGGCCTTCATGTCTGGATCCTCCTGAGTCTTAAACGCAGGGGGCATTGGGATGTCAAAGTTAGTCGTCTGGCACCATCTGACCACTCTGTCTACAAGGTGAACCGTCTGGATGGAGATATGATATCTCTTCATTGTAGCAAGCGTGCTAGTTTTGAATACTCCTAGACCAGGAATTTCCACGACAGCTTCGGGTTCTGATAGGTGCTCGCTCACTGTCTGCAGTGCAGTCACCTTCTTTGTGCATTTGCGGAGTAGATCCTTCGGGAAGACGCGTACTAGCTCATCTGCATCAATAATCGTCTTGTTAGCCGGTAATTTCGCCAGCTTATACGCAATCGGGGCCTTGACATTCTTGTCCACCATCAGCACCTTGTACTTGATCACTGTTGATGAAGCCGATGTGTACGTTGGATGGACCTCCAGCGCTCGAGCCAGCGTGGCGATCGTCATGTTCTTGCTGTGCATCTCCTAATCTTCTTTAGTCATGAGAACCGCAAGGTTTTGCGCTTTTCTAGCAGCTTTGGTCTAGGTCTTCGGTCTCCCTCGCGACCGCGGAGGAGATGCAACGTCAAATGCGTCGGAATCATCCTCCAAACGAACAGGTCTGGCGATCTGCTCAGGTGGGCCAGTTGGTGACCCCGATTGTGCGGATGGTTGGGTGCTCTCTTCAGATGGGCCAGACGGTCTCGAAACCGTTTGAGATGGGCTATATGGCCTCGTATGGGTCTGCGTACAGGCGGCAATACTAGATTTACCAGAAGAAGTCTCCACACCCCGATCAGGTTCGTCCACTTCGACGCTCATTGCAGCGGGGCTGCCGTAGCTTTAGCGTCAGAGGAAGACGTTCGACTCAAAGAGTCACTAATACTAAGTTCCTTATCCAAAGGAACTTACAGCCCAAGACCAGGGCTCAAAGTTAATACCTTAACTTTTAAGCTTCAAAACCAGAAGTGTTTTATTTACTATTATTGCGGCCAATCCGCCTAGGGGTAAATGTATCTCTTTAACTATCTAGCATAGTTAAACCTAATCAAATGCATAACGTGTGGCTTTCAGCCAACGTACTGAGAGACCTTGTTAACTCTCCAACTTATGTACTGAGAGTTTGTTAACTCTCCGGGTACTTCGTACCCCTGTGTGTTCCACACCATGTAACCCCGTTACACTCTCCCTCACTAAGATGAGAACATACCGTTCTCGAACTTTCCTCAGCGAGGTCACGTCTTGTCAAGACGACGGAGGTCACTAGACCTCACCTTTACGTTCTGCAGCTCCACGAGCTCACAAACGCGTTCGCATTCTTGATGCCTGGCACTTCCACTCCGGCCCACGGCCCAACGTCTCCAGCGCGTCGCGCCGCCCCTGCCTCGTCGGTCCCAGACCCCCAACTGCGCTCCGCAACTGCTCCAAGAGCATCTTCGTCTCTTTCGGTGGCACAGTACCACCAAGAGTATCGCCGTCGCCACGGTCAACGC